GATTTGCAGCATCTGTGGAGGAGATTAATGATCACTTTTTATTGGAACTGAAAGGTCACTGACCCGAAACATCAACGTGTTTTCTTTCGCCACAGAGGCTGCCAGAACTGCTGAGTGTTTACATCCCTTTCTGTTTTAATTTCAGATTTACAAATTAACTGTACGCTTTTGTATGATTGTACCTGTTTATGATGAAGTTAGCCTGGACTCTGAAAAATCTTTCTGATTTTGTGAAAATTGTACCTTAGGATATTCATTAATTTTAACTCCAGAACTCAAGCAAATTCCTGATGCTCAGTCCCAGCAGAAAAATATGTGTGTGCTGAGAGCACATATTCGTAAGGTTTATATTTACAATTTGTACTAATGATTTAGATGGCTCGGTAATTAGCACTGCTGCCTCACAGCATCAGGGACTCAGGTTTGATTCCACACTCGGCCGACTGTTCATGTGGAGTTTGCACATTCTCTCCATGTCTGCGTGGATTTCTTCCGGTTTCTCCAGTTTCCTCCCATAGTCCAAAGATGTTGAGGTTAGGTGGATTGGCCATGCTAAATTGCCTATAGCGTCCAGGGATGTGCAGGCTAAGTAGATTAGCTATACTAACTTGCCCATAGTGTTCAGGAGTCTGTAGATTAGATGTGTTAGCCATGGGAAATACAGGGTTATAGGGAAAGGGTACGGGGATGCGGATGGGGTTGGGTGCAGTGTTCTTCAGAGGGTCGGTGTGGACTTGTTTGGCTTAATGGAGGAGGTTGCAAATGTGCTACAGTGTGATTTGGACAAGTTCAGGGAGTAGGCAGATGAAGTATAATGTGAGGTTATAAACTTTGGTAGCAAAAACAGGAAAGCAGATTATTATCTCAATGGGAAAGGGGAGATGCAGTAAAATCTGAATGTCCTTGTACACTACTCGCTGAAAGAAATTATGCAGGTGCAACAGGTGTTGAAAAAGGCAAATGGTGTGTTGGCCTCCATAGTCAGAGGCTCTGAGTACAGGAGCAGGAGCTTTGGTGAGACAATACCCAGAGTATCGTGAGCAGTTTTGGTCTTCTTACCTGAGGAAGGATGCTCTTGCAAGTGAGTGCAACAAAGGTTTGTCAGCCTGATTCCTGGACTGACATTTAAGAGTTTGTGCAGTTAGGACAATATTCACTGGATTTTGGAAGAATTGGAGGGGTTTTCACAGAAAACTGTAAAATTCTAACAGGACTAGACAGGGTAAACACATGAAGGATGTTCCTGATGTTCACTGTCAAAGGATATGGGGTAGGACATTTATGACTGAGATGAGGAATAATTTCTTCACCCAGAGAGTGGTGAGCTTGTGGAATTCGCTGCCACAGAAAGCGGTTGAGACCAAAATAATGAACGTTTTCAAGAAGGTCTTAGATATAGTTCTCAACGCTAAAGGGATAAAAGTGTGTGAGCAGAAGTGGAAACAGGGTGCTGAGTTGGAAGGTCAGCCATGATAATGTTGAATAGTGGACCAGGCCTAGTTCTGCTTCCATGTTTCTATGTTTATTCTGTAGGCTTGAGACAGAAGTTGGAAAAAAATGCGAACACGGTTTAAAACATGTGCTGAATTTTCACAACTTCTGTCCTCGTAAGAATTTATTGATCATGGTGGTGTTTTATGCTGCTTTGATCTCTTTGATCTGAAAAGCCCTTGAAGATATAAGTGTAACAAGGTAATTGGTTGAATACTTTGTATTTGTTGTTATGTACAACTGTATACTATTGCCTGATGAGGCATGGCTTTGAAAGAACTTTAAGGATTCATAAGGGCTTGCCATTGGTGAAAGTGGGGGCAGATTGTGGGCTTTTGACTTTTAGAAAAAAGGTACTGTTTATTCCTTCAGAAATTATACATTTTTATCTTCTTTGCTTTTCTGTGTTAGATTTTTTTTTGCATTCTTTATTCTGTTAACAAGCTAGTTGAGACTACAGGATGCAACGTGCATTCTCTAATATTTGCAGGAGGCAGAATGAACAAACACTACTTTGATACAAGAAACAGATCTGTGTAAAATAGAGCCATTGAATGATATCAAGCCTGTACCTTCTCTTTGTACGACGCACAGTATTCATTACCTTGTTTTAGGAAGGATATAAATACATTAGAAGGCAGTCCTGTGAAAGCTCACCAGCTTGATCCTGAATATGAGTAACGGTTGAGTAGATTTAGAATGAAAAGTGATCTTATTGAAACACACGGTCTTTAGGGGGCTTGACAGGGTAAATGCTGAAAGATTGTTTCTCCTTGTGGGAAAATCTAGGACCAGAAAACATCATCTCAGAATAAAAGGTTACACATTTAAGACAGGGATGAGAAGGAATTTGTGAATCTGTGGAATTCTTTACCACAGAGGGCTGTTGAGACCGGGTTGTTAAGTATATTCAATGCTAAGATAGACAAATTATGAATTAGAAAGAGAATTAAGGGTTATGGGTGAAATACAGGAAAATTGAGTTGAGGATTTATGGATTAGCCATGATCTCATTGAATGATGAACCAAATTCAATATACTGTGTTATGTCTTATGTCTTATGGTTTTATACCTTTCCAGTCTGCCCACAAATGTAATCCTTTATTCTTGGAACTATTTTTGTCTATCTGTTTTGCACTCTCTTGAAACCTTTACAGCTTTTCTGCAGTTCCCAGAATTGAGCAAAAAAAGTCCAGCTGGACCAAACTAGTATTTAATGCAAGTTTAGTGTAACCTTTTAACTTTTGTACTCTAGCCTCTATTTATAAAAGATTCCAGAGGCTTTAATAATTGTTTTGTTAACTTGATTTGTGAGCCAGCACTCCCAGCTCTCTCTGTTTCTGCATTCCATTTGAAGTTGTACCATTTAGCTAGTTTCATTTCTCCTCATTCTTACCATCAAAATGTACAGACTTACATATCCCTCCGTTGAATTTTGTCAATTTGTGTCTAACATTTCATCCAATGCTTGTCTATTTATGTAAATAGATGAATGGATAATATATAGACTTCACGGTGAAAACTTCCCCTTATTCATTGGTTATGATAAACAGTAAGAATGCAAATTATTTGCTGCATGAAAAATGACCTTGCCTTCTGTAATTTAATCCTTGGAAAAAAAAAGGCTTGGGTCTATAGTTTTGTGCAGTCGTTGAGACTCCAGGGACCTTTCAAAAACAGTGGTTAGGGCTTGGTCTGGAAATCCTGTCCCTATTTCCAACAAATTGTAATTTTGCTGGTAAGGGGATGGATCGTCACTTGCACAAGAGGGACACCTGAACTCAGCAGTAATAAACTTTTAGAATGGGCGTAAATGCTTGTGAAGGGTGAATAAGAACTATAGAATTGTCAGCTATTAAGTTATTTAAATATAAAAGCCCTTTAAAATTGAAACAAAACTGCTTGCCTGTGTCTGTGAGTTAATAAAGAAAAAGCTGTGCTAGTGGAAGGGTCCAGACCCGAAACATCAGCTTTCCTGCTCTTCTGATGCTGCCTGGCCTGCTGTGTTCCTCCAGCTCCACACCTTGTTATCTCCAGCATTGGCAGTTCCTACTGTCTCTGTGCTAGTAGTTTCATAGCTGTTTATTGAAATAGCCCAAAGTGTTATCATTAGAGCATGATTACTGATTAATGGCTTACCACAACCTATCATTATCATAACGTTGGTGGGGGCTGAAAGTTCACAGCTCAAAGAGGCTGTTGAAAAATTAGATATCTTTGGCTCGTGGCTATGAATCCAAATTTTTTAATAAGAAACTGAGTACATCAGATTTAAATAGGCTTTCTTGTATGATTTTAATTGTATGCATATTAGCAAAATGTGTAATAGATATTTCGAGTTTAATTTTATTTCATCTCTTAGGGTTTGCTCATAGTGCACTTTGAGTGATTTGGCATGGAAGAACAAATATTGGTGGTGAGTGGTTTGCATGGGTTAGCAGAAGCTAAAATATATGCACATGGGGAAGGATGTGAGGCTGAGTGTGAGACAGGTTAGGACGTGAGGGCCAAATGTTTAAGGAAACAGCTGGAACCAGCCCTCAGAGAACTGAGGTGGGCCTTTTAACAGTAAGCCTTTGCACTTGCATCCAAGAATCTGACTCAATCCCAGACTGGCTCCCACCCCTCAAGATGATAATCCCAGCATTTAGGGCACATTTTCCCAATTGAGTGTTGTTATTTGACTTTAAAATATCTAGGGGACTCAGAATCAGGACAATGATTGTTTATTCAAACATCTGCAAGATGAGTCAGCCTATGATTCTATGAATCTATGATTATCAGTATAACACTAACTCTGCAAAGTCTCACTGGATGCCATCTTCTCATATTAAATTATTTATCTGATAAATTCACTCCGTATGTTGACCAGATGTTCCAGATTTAATTTCCTACAATCTACCCAAAAGGTATTTGATCTTTGGCCTTCTTATTTTTGCTGGTTGTGTCATTCCTTACATGCCTGGCCTTGCTCTTCTGTTTGGCTCTGTACATCTGTATTCATCATCTCTGTCCCATTTACTTTTACTGAAAATTTAACCCTGAACTAAATGATTCAGTCCCTTCATGGCACCCTGAGTTTGGAGAATTGGGAGCTTTCCTGGCTTTGTGTAACTATCTCAGGAGCAAAATTCCAGCCCTACAATTTATATAGAGCATTTTATAACGTCAGGTATACCTAAAGTCTGTTTGTTAGTCGTACTTTGTTAAGGTGTTAGTCACTATTGAACACAAGAAATGCAGCTTCCAATTGGCACGTGGTAAGGTTTTACAAATTAATAGTCCTGCCATGCTAAAATTGTAGCAGCTTCGGAGCTGGAAATAAAATTGTCCCTGCAATATCTAGCCTCACACTTGGGCATTATCTAGCCTCAGACTGCTGCTATTGGGAGCTACAGAAGTAGGAGGAATGTGGGTGGAGAGAAATTCTGTAACAAAGTAAAATGAAAATTATGCTTTCAAGCAAATTCATCATTTGTTAAACTTTTTCCCATAATGATCTACTGTAGGTGAAGACATCTTTATCCATTTGTATGGAGCTGCAACAGACATAAATGTAAGACTGGACAAAAACTCAGTAATAATCGAGAAAACCTACATATCATTGGCTAACCAGAGAGTGGTTTCCATTTGCAATAGGAGTGATGTAATTGTGCACTTTCAGTGGAAGGCCTTTGCAACTCCAGAAGAAGAAGAGCAGCAAAAAATCAGGTAAATCAATTAGTGTCTAAGACTCTTTAATTTATGTAATATTTATTAACTAAGTCTCATGAAGACATTTCTGTCATATATATAAGATCCATCTTCAGGAATTGAAACCTCAATTGCAGACTAGACTTCCACATGGTCACCACATCTGCCATTGTTGGTTGCAGGCTGATCCCAATATTGGTCCCAACTGATGGATGAGACATGGCAACTTACCATTTCGGTGACCTCATGGTGGAGATCTTGCATTCACAAGGCCCTCCGAGAATTGTTACCCAATGGCTAGAATCTTTTGTTAATATATTTTAAAGGCTAAAGATTGATGCTATGTTAGTGTTGCAGAAAGATTCAGTATAAGTTCCCATACCGACACCAATTTCTATCCTGGAAGTTCTGTGGAAGCCCTCTCCCTTTCTATCACAGTTCATACAGTGCAGTTCATTGGATCATAAGTATGGTTTTTCCTATCTGTAACCTCATTGTGGATGAGTAGGCCTACATTCTGTCTTAGCCAAAATCTGACTCCAAATTGATAACATTTTATTTTTCACTGAGACTGTTTTGTCAGATGACATATTCTGTTATGTTCTACAAGCAAACTGCTGTGAACATAATTGGAACTCAACTCCTGGCTTCAACTTGATATCCTTCCTGATAATGGGTCAGTTACCTGAAACATTAAACCTGACCTCAGTTTTTACAGGGGCATTAGGGATGTCTGAACTGGCTAAAGTTCTGTTAGAGTCCCAATTCCAGAAATACTGGCTTCAAATGCATACAGATATGTGTCAGGGATTAAGTACTTGAATAAAATGTTTGTTTATATAAAGGATAATGTTCTTGAATCAACGTATCAAATAGTTTTTTTTTATTGAGGAACAAAAACAAAGTTGCTGGAAAAGCTCAGCAGGTCTGGCAGCATCTGTGAAGGAGAAAACAGAGTTAACGTTTCGGGTTCGGTGACCCTTCCTCAGAACTGATGGTGGCTGGGAAAAGGTCAGTTTATATGTAGAAAATAGGGAGGTGGGTGGGGTAGGGAGTAAACGATAGGATAGAGCCCGAAGAGAGAGAAAGACAGTTGGACAGACAAAGGAGTTGCTAACGATCAGGCTGGGAGGGTGAGTAGTTGTTAATGGGGACTGTTAGTGATTAACAACAGGGGGTATGTAATGGCAGGCTACGTGGTAACAAGACCTGGTGTGTGGGGTGGGGGGGCTGGGACATGGGAGAGTTTAGGCCCTAAAATTATTGAACTCAATATTGAGTCCGGTGGGCTGTCGGATCCCCAAGGGGAAAATGAGATGTTGTTCCTCCAGCTTGCACTGGGCTTCACTGGAACACTGTAGCAAGCCGGAGACAGAGATGTTGACCAGGGAGCAGGGTGGTGCATTGAAGTGGCAGGCAACAGGTAGTTCAGGGTCTTTTTTGGGAGCAGAACGTAGATGTTCTGCAAAACGGTCGCCAAGTCTACGCTTCATTTCCCCAATGTAGAGGAGACCACATTGTGAGCAGCGAATGCAGTAGACTAGATTCTTGGAAGTGCAGGTGAAGTGTTGCTTCACCTGGAAGGTAGGTTTGGGCCCTTGGATTCTGGGGAGGGAGGAGGTAAGTGCACAGGTGTTGCACCTTCGCCGGTTACAGGGGAAGGTGCCGTAGGGCTGTGGGGAGGTGTTGGGGTGATGGACGTGTGGACCAGGGTGTCCCGGAGGGAACAGTGCCTGCGCAAGGCGGACAAGGGAGGGGAGGGGAATATGTGTCTGGTGGTGTCATCTTGCTGGAGGTGGTGGAAATGGCGTCTGATGATCTTCTGGATGTGGATGTTGGTGGGGTGGTAGGTGAGGATGAGGGGAAAATCCTCTGCTCTAGGGAAAAGACACCTACCATTCACCTTATCTATACCCCTCATGATTTTATAAAGCTTAATAAGGTCACCTGTCAACCTCCTACACTCCAGTGAAAAAAGTCCCAGCCTATCCAGCCTCTCCTTATAACTCAAACCCTCCATTCCCAGCAACATCCTGGTAAATCTCTTCTGAACCCTCTCCAGCTTAATAATACCCTTCCTATAACAGGGCAACCAGAAGTGGATGCAGTACTCCAGAAGAGGCCTCACCAACATCCTGTACAACCTCAATATGATATTCCAACTCCAGTTTAATTAGTCACTTTTACTTGCCCTTGGTACAAGAGACCTGCAACCAGCAGTCAATTGAAACCCCATAGGTGCATCTTGCTCCGCTCTAACCGACTGAGCTCAGACTAACTTTCAAGTGAATTTAAAGTGATTGTAGCAGCAGAAGGGAAACCAAACCTGTTCAGCTTCGTTTGGCTGCTGGGCGCAAATTATTATTTTCATATATTTATTTTTGGAATGTGGGCATCGTGGAAATACCATCACTTAATTCTCATGCCTTCTCCTTGAGAAGGTGGTGACCTGTCTTCTTGAACGGCTGCAGTCCCTGCAGTTGGAACTCACACATGCATGTCGGAAGGTGGATCTAGATTTTGACCCCATAACAGTGAAGGAATGGCTGGTACAGTTTCAAGCCAGGTTGATGTATGGCTTATCTGATGTAGCCATTGTTTTTTTATTTATTCTCTTGTGGGACATGGCCAGCATTTATTGCCCATCCATAGTTGCCATTGAAAAGTTGGTCGTGAGCAACTTTCTTGAACCACTGCAGTCCATGTGCTCTATGTAGACCTACAATGCTGTTAGGGAGGGAATGGCTGGTCCAGTTATGATTGTGGTCAGACCAGAATATTGATTGTGGGTTTACAGTGATGGTAATGTTGTTAAATGCCAAGGGCTGGTTGTTGTGTTTTGTCTCATGATTAGGATATCAATATGCCTTTGTGAGATGTTCTCATAATACTATCACCACATTCTAGTATGTGACCAGAGAGTACAATATAAAGATTTCTTACTCCATCATACCTGTCATTACTTGAAACAGGACACTACTGAATGTATGCTTTTTTGTTGTAAACTACTATCTTAATGTATGCCTAGACATGTATGTGCCTGAAGAACATAGCATTTGTAGATATTGAGAGTCTTGACAGGTTTCATGTGGTAAAGATGGTTCCTTTTGTGGGAGAATGTAAAATTTGTGGTCACAGTTTAAACATAAGGGCTCACCCATTTAAAACAGATGGGATTTGTTTTTTCTCAGAGGGTCATTAGTCTGTGGAACTTTCCTCCTCAAAAGTCAGTAGAAGCAGAATCTTTGAGCTAGTTTTAAAGCAGAGATGAATAGATTCTTGGTGAGCAAAGGTGAAATGATATGGGGAAATCCTAGCAGCAACAGGACAAGGTCCTTCCTTAACTCGTCCACAGGTAGGTAGACCTCCTGACAACTCCATGCAGGTAAAATTGTGGCAGGTTGGGTGGATAGGCTGCGGGTACTTAACTGGTTCCCTTTACCTGCTAACCTGCCCATGAGGGTGGGAAAATCAGCCCATAATCTGAGGCTTTGGGATTGAAACTGAGCATTGCATTAGTGTGTTTGAACACAAAAATGAACAATAAGCAAGAATAGTTGAACATCCACGTTTTTGCAGTGAACTCCTGTAGATGAGATAGTTGACCTCCAATAAATACAACCACTTTCCTTTGTGTTCGGTAAGACTGCAACCTGTGGAAAATTTCCCCACTGATTCTTATTGAGTTTAGTTTGCTAGTGCTCATTGAGCTCACGCTTGGTCGAGTGCTACCTTGATGTCAGAGGCAGGCACTTTCAGCTTGTCACCAGAATACAGTTACTTTTTTAAAATTTATTCAGGGGATGTAGGTGTCGCTGGATAGACCAACCATTTATTCTCCATCCCTGGTTTCCTAGAGGGCGGTTAAGAATTTTGTCCATGTTTAGGACCAAAGCTCTAATTAGATCAGGAGCTGAGTGGACCTGGTGAAATCTGTACTAAGCACTGTGTGCAGGTTATTGGTAAGTAGGTTGTGCTTGATAGCACTTTATTTATTTATTTTTTAATCTATTTTCCTAATTAACTTGTTCAGAGATGTTACTAGACATCTCTAGAGCAGATGGGACCTGAACCTGGGTCTCCCGGTGCAGGGAAGGGACTCTACCATTGCTTCACTAAAGGGTCCTCTTGATAACACTTAAATGCACTCCCAACACTTCACTGATGGTTGAAAATTGGTTGAATGGTGTGGTAATTGGCTGGATTTGATTCATCCTGCTTTTTTTGTGGATAGGACATACCTGGACAATTTTACATTTTGTTGGAGAAATGCCGGCATTAGAGCTGTACTGGAACAGGTTGGCTGAAGGTGAGGTAAGTTCGGAGCGCTATCACTAGAAGGTTGTTGGGCTCCATGCTGTGAACCTCTATGACTCCTGTTAATTTCTGTTGTATACGCTGTGCTCAACTGTAGCATCAAGGAGTCTGAGCAAAACTAGAATCAATGGCAATCAGGGAGAAAATTCTCCATTGATTGAGTTCATGCCTGGCACAATGAAAGATGAATGTGGTTGTTGGCAGTCAATCATCTCAATTCCAGAACATCTCTGCGGGAGTTTTGTGTCCCAGGTCCAGCTACCTCCAGCTACTTCATCGATGACTTTCATTCCTTGCTGATAATTGCACAATATTCAGTACCATTTGTGACTCCTCAGTTAATAAAGTAGTCCATGCCCAAATGTAGTAAGACCTGGATGATGTCCAGGCCTGGGCTGACAAGTGGCAAGTATAATTTGTGCTACACAAGTGCCAGGTAATGACCATTACCAAAAAGACAGAATCTAACCATCGTCCCTTGATATTCAATGGCACTACTATCACTGAATCACCAACTATCAACATCCTGCGGGTTACCATTGACCAGAAACTGAACTGGACTAACAATATAAAAACTGGCTACAGCAGCAGGTTAGTGGTTAGGACTTGTGCAGCAAATAACTCACCTCTTGACTTCCCAAAGCCTGCCTACCATCTACAGGGCACAAGTCAGAAGTGTAATGGAATACTCCTCACTTGCC